GGAGGAGGAGGAAGAGGAGGAGGAGGAGGAGGAGGAGGAGGAGGAGGAGGAGGGGAGGAGGAGGAGGAGGGAGGAGGAGGAGGAGGAGGAGGGAGGTAGGAGGAGGAGGAGGAGGAGGAGGAGGAGGAGAGCGGAGGAGGAGGAGGAGGAGGAGGAGGGAGGAGGAGGAAGGAGGAGGAGGAGGAAGGGAGGAGGAGGAAAGGAGGAGGAGGAAGAGGGAGGAGGAGGTGGGGAAGAAAGGAAGAGGAGGAGGAAGAAGGTAGAAGAAGAGAGGAGGAGGAGGAGGAGAAGAGAAAGAAGAAGAAGAGGAGGACGAGGAGGAGGGAGGAGGGAGGAGGAGGAGGAGGAGGAGGAGGAGGAGGAGGAGGAGGAGGAGGAGGAGGAGGAGTAGGAAGAGGTGCGCACACGCCTCCGCACTGTCCGCCTTCTTGTTGCCAGGCCGACGGCGACAAGAAGTCACCCTGGTTCCCGGTTGTCCGCGGCTTCTTCAACGCCATCTTCTTCCACCTCGGTGTCGCGGGCTGGGCGGGGTTCGTGACCTGGACAGGCGGGAGTCTCAGAGGCAGAGGATGGCGAGTTAGACAACGGTAGTTGGCCTCGTCGTCGCGCTTGGACGCTGTTTAGACATTTTGTGTTTCTGGATCCCTGGAGGGGTCCAGGGACCGATTTTGAGCTGTCGTTGCATCAACTCGCCCTGCTGTGGGGAATCGTGGCTTGGGCAGGGGAGAGAGGATTGAATCGGGCTGGGGGGCTAATGTGGCCCAGCCTTGGCTCGCATCTGCCTTCCAAAAGGCGCTCCTACTGGGTAGGCCAGTCTTTCCTCCTAGCCAGGGGCGGCATTGTATACGGCACTGCGTCTTCATCTCGTCCTGAGCATCCTTATGCACGACTAGGGGGCCTGGCGTCGAGTTCCATGGGCGGCCAACGCTCTTCGCCTCCCCCCTTTCTCCCCTCTTCGTAGTTGTTTTTTGTTGTTGCTAGGCCGCTCAACCCACAGGCGGGCGCACCCTGTCCTTCCCGCCCCTGCTTGGCAGGGTTCGGGGAGTCATTGCTGCGCACGCCCTACAGCTATCATATATTCAGATCCTGCCATCTAGCTTGCTCGGGTGGGGCCTTGTGCGTCGTCAGCTCAAGGCTGGACTGCGCACGCACGAGTTCGTCGCTATTCACTCCTCCCCCTGCTCTTCTCTCCTTCTCCGCCCTCTGCCTCCTCCTCCCCTTCTCTGTTTTTTGCAGGTGGGTCCGAGGCTTTGCTTAGGATCCTTCGTCCGTCCCCTAGCGGGGTCGGGACTTCCCTCCCCCTCTTTCCTCTCTCTCTCTTTTGCTTCCTCTTCTTCCTTTTCCCCCCCCTGCTCCTCCCCTCTCCTTGCCCGCGTGTGCGCGATACCGAATGTTGTCGCTCGCGCGGCTTCTCCCTCCTTTGCTTTAAGACTAATCTGAGTTAGCGCCCGTGATGAAGGGTCACCGGCGCCATTGATGCTCAATGGAGTGCTCGCTTGCGTGGTTGTTCATGGAGTTTGGGTTCTCTTGCGGTGGAAAAAAAGTAGGCGCACGACACAAGAGCCCGGCTTTCAAGTGGGTGCTCCATGGAAATATGTCCTCCCCCGTAGGGCCTGGGGCCCAGTGGAATATCGCTGCGCGTGCGAAGTTCAATTTCGACGATGAACGTGGCCTGGATTTGTTCTAGCAAGGTGTCGTTATCGTATGTTGGCATCGTATGTGGGGCTTTTTTCCCCCAGCATTGGTAGTGGAGGAGGAGGAGGAGGAGGAGGAGGAGGAGGAGAAGGCGGAGGTGGATAGTAGCAGATGAGGAGAAAAAGGAGAAATATGGGGTCAGTGCGGGGAATGTTCCGCGGCACGTTACAGCGGAGAGGTTTCAGTGGTCAGGCGGACATTTGCGGGAGCGGCGTTGTGAACATGTTGGACACCTCCTCCTCCTCCTCCTCCTCCGCCTCCTCCTCCTCCTCCTCCTCCTCTTCCTCCTCCTCCTCCTCCCCCTCCTCCTCTTCCCCCTCCTCCTCCTCCTCATCCTCATCCTTAACTGCTGCTGAGGGCGGTGCCGAGTGCACAGGCGCTGGTTCTCTAAGTCGGTCTGCCTTTCCCGCCCGCCCGCGTCTTGCCCCAGGCTGCGCAGCCCAAAGGAACGCCGGCAGCACTGTCGCCGGTGGCGCTTGCACCGCAACGCGACTGCGTTTGAGTGCGCGAGTAACCAAACAGCGGGAAGAGGAACGGCCTAGTGAAACCCCCCCAAGTGACCAAGAGCGGCAGGCGCGGAGCGTGCGTGGGCAGCATCTGCCGACTGTCCGGGCGCCAGTTTTCTGCGTGGGCCTGCCCTACCAGGCCGACCGCAGTTGACCCACGGCCGCCGCGGTCAGGGCCAGAAAGTGCCTCCAGGGTGGGCGTGAGGACGCAGGCGACAGTGCAGTCGCGATTGGTGTCACGTGCAGTGTCTTTGGAGCGCTGGGAGGTGGCCGAACCCAAGGCGAGACAAGCAAAACATGCCCCCCGGGACGGCGGGCCGACGTGGCGCCCCACCGGGGGCCAGACTGCAGCGGGCCCGCTCGCGCGGAGGCGGCTCTACGGGGCCGAACGAATTATCCCCACCCCCGTCGGGGTGCCTCGGGCGGCGGGGCGCTGGCTCGTCCCTTGGGGGCAGGATGGGGTCTGGCGGCGGGGTGGTGGCCCAGCCTCGTGGAGGAGTGGAGGGTGCGAAAATGAGCTCGTTCCCCCCCCCCCCCCTTTGCGGCCGCCCGCCCTGTCCTGTTTTGAGCTCGGGCATGCTGGCCCATTCGCTACGACGGCGCCCCCGTTTCGCCTGCTCGCTGGCGCTGCTGCCTCGGCCTCGCCGTGAGCGGAAAAGAACGAAAGTGAGACTGCATGCCTGCCCCTGGTTCCCCCCCGTTCTCCCCCAGAACGGCCGGTGGCCTGCAGGGCCTTTGAGCTGCAGACGGTAGCGGACGGCGCACATCGCTCACCATTGGCATCCGTCACATCGGATTCCAAGTTGCATGCAGTAGGCACGTACAACGATAAGTCGAGTAAACCAGCTGGCAAGCACATGCCCCACGGAAGTGTCGAATCCCCCGATGGTCGTTGGCAGGCACATGCCCTGCGGAAGTGTCTGGTCCTCCTCGTTGGGGCACCGCATAGTCTTTAAAGATCGACGAAGAATTTGGCCCACCCCCTCTTAGATCAAGACGTATCATCGCGTGTGCCTGCTGTGTTGTCACTGCGTGCGCCTGCTGCATTATCGTGCGTGGACTGCGTCTGGCGGGGGTCATGCTTGGTGCGGGCAGCACCTGGCCTTCAGTCGGCGCGCGCGCAGGATATGGTGGCCTTGGATAATTCGACGGCCCGCGCTTGTGAAGGGCGAGTTGCCATCATCAGCGCCGCCATCAATGCCCGTCATCACCACCATTTCATCATCGCCGCGTTGGTTCTCCGCTGCATCCTGTGTCATCGACCGCGCCATCTCGCCGCCCGCTCGCCGCCCCCCCCGCGACCCCCCCCCCCACACCACCAGCTCCTCCGCCTGCGCCTAGTCGCGTTCCGTGTCGTGCTATCGATTGCTTGTTCTCGCGATGGTTTCCGTCGCCCCCTCCGTCCGCCCATCGCCCCCCACCCCCCCATGGCGCCTCTTCGTTCTCGCCCAGCCCCCCTCCCCAGATGAAACGTCATCCTGCTTCCCACCCTCCGCCCCGTGCTTACTCCTCCTTCGCCCTCGCCTTGGCCGCCAGCCCTTGCCTCGCCACCCCCCTCTTCCCTATCGACCTCTACCATTCGGCCCCCCGTGTCCTCCTCGCCATCATGCGCCGCCCCCTCCCCCCCACCCCGCCCCTCATCGCCATCGTCTTCCTCGCCATTATCCAATGTGTTCCCTCTCCTCCCCGCGTTCCTTTGCGCCGTCGTCATCCTGCTGTCTCGTTGCGGGCGATCATCGTGCAGCGCCGATGGCGGTCGCGAAGCAGCGGCGCGGGCGCCCCCGCCCCAGCCCCCACGCTTGGGCGAAAGGGAGGAGGCGCCGCGCGACGCGCAGCGGCGCGGGGCGACGCGAGCCCAATCGATGGGCGCGAGGCGCCGCGCAGTCCGCCCTGCTTGCACGGGCGAGCGCGCGAGGGGGCGCGTGCTCCGCCCAGGGTTGGGAGGGGCCACGCACGCTCAGCTGGGCGGGGGTGCCCCGCCACGTTCGGCGAGGGGCACCGGCCGTGCGGCTTTTTGTTAATTCCATCGTTGCCGTGCGCGTTGGCGCCATCGCGCGCTTGTCCAGCGCGTTCGCGCACGCGTGTGGCGCGCGCATTGTGCCCCCTGGTGGCAGTTTTTGCATATGTGCGGGGCGTGCTGCGCGGGCCCACTGGCGGCCACGTTTGAGCACGTGCGATGCGTGTCTCTCGGGCCCCCTGGTGGCCACTGTCGAGCGCGTATGGGGCGCGTCTATTGGGCCCACTGGCCGCCGCGGTTGAGCGCGTGCGAGGCGCGTCTCTTGGGCCCACTGGCGGCCACATTTGAGCACGTGCGAGGCGTATCTCTTGGGCCCACTGGCGGCCGCGTCCGCGCGCGCGACGCGCGTCTCCCGGGCCCGCCGGCAGCCGCATTTGAGCGCGCCCGAGGCGCGTCTCTCGGGCCCACTGGCGGCCGCGGTTGAGCACGTGCGACGCGCGTCCTCTAGGCCCACTGGCATTCGAGCGCGTGCGAGGCGTGTCTCTCGGGCCCACTGGCGGCCGCGTTTGAGCACATGTGACGCCTGTCTCCCGGGCCCATTGGCGGCCGCATCTGAGCCCGTGCGAGGCGCGTGCGTCTCCTAGGCCCACTGGCGGCCGCGGCCGAGCGCGCGCGTGGCGCGCCTCCAGGGCCCTCTGGCCGCATTTGACCGCGCATGAAGCGCGTCTCTCGGGCTCGCGGGCTGCCGCGTTTGAGCGCGTGCGAGGCGTGTCTCCTGGGCCCACTGGTGGCCACATGCGCGCGCGCGTGGCGTGTCTCTCGGGCCCGCTGGCGGCCGCGGTCGGGCACGTGCGAGGCGTGTCTCCTGGGCCCGCTGGCGGCCGCATTCGAGCGCGCGCGAGGCGCATCTCTCGGGCCCCGGGCCCGCTGGCGGCCGCGTTCGAGCACGTGCGAGGCGTGTCTCCTGGGCCCATTGGTGGCCGAATTCGAGCGCGTGCGAGGCGCAACTCTCGGGCCTCCCGGAGGCCGCGGTTGGGCGCGCGTGAGGCGCGTCTCCCGGGCCCACTGGCGGCCGTGGATTTCGCGGTCTCGGGGGTTAGTAATTTTCGATTGACGGGCGTCGTGGGCGGCGCGAGGAAGGTTGGAGCGCGCCCTCGACTGGGGGCGGCACAGCGCGAGTGGAAAACACTGCGTCCTCTGGAGAGCTTTCTGCGAAACAAGCGCCGGCACTGGAAAAAATCACGACGTAGGAGGCCGAGGCAGGAGGATATGCAAACGCGAGCGGGGATCCGAAAGCGGTCGATCGAATTTCTGCCTCTCGGACGTAGGAGAATTGAATTTCGGGAAGAGGTA